TGCGCTGTCTCCTTACCAACGATGACGATAATTGAAAAATCTTTTATATGTTTTTTAAAAAAAAAAAAAAAAAAAAAAAGAATCTTTTTTCTTTTATTTCGTTTGTTTTTCGATTGGGGGGTTACCCTCCGAATCCTGTCTCTTATACACATCTAGATGTGTATAAGAGACAGCTCCTTAACAGCCAACTCACAAAAGAAATGAGCCCAGATTTGGGGTCCTTTTGGAGACTGCAAAAAACAAAAAAAAAAAAAAAAAAAAGAATCTTTTTTCTTTTTTTGCACGCGCGGGTACCCCGGGCGTCAGACCCCCCCCGGCGCCACGCCCGGCTGCCCGGCCAGGCAGGACCGGCCGGGCGTGAGGATCTTCCTAGTAAAAGAGGTATCATGCATAGAGCTGTAGCCTGTAGGGATTGACCCTCTATTTTTCCCCTCTTCCTCCTCCCCCCCTCCTCTTTCTGTCCTCCTCTTCCTCTCTTTTCTCCCCTCCTTCCTCTCCCCCCCCGCCCCCCCCCCTTTCCCACTCCTCTCCTGAACACGTTGCTTTTCGTTGTTGTGGCTGTGCAGAGGAGTTGGCTGAAGTTGACAGTGGGCCGCCAGAGGGCATCTTCGAACAGCAAGCGGGTGACGGAACAGACACGAGCGTGGGGGTGCGTATGACGCAGGTGGAGGAGGAGAGAGTGATGCGAAAGGGGAAGAAGGTGAATCGGAGCAGGACAGCCAGCGGAGAGAAGGATACCTTGTTGTTGCAAATGGACTGTGATGCCAATGACTGCGCTGAAATCTTGCAGTCGCTTGGGGAGGTAAGAGGCTTCTTTCTCCTCTCCAAAAAAAAGAAAAAAAGAGAGAAGTGAACCACGAATTTCAGTTCTCTTATCTAGACCCAAGCAAGTGCACACAAAGCCCGAGGCCAAGGGCACAATTCTTTGACACAGTCGATCATGGTATTACGTATAGTATCATCCAGATAAAGCGACCATATGCTTGGCCGAACCAACCAATGGGATTGGAATCGAAAATCTATCTATCTATCTATCTATCTATCTATCTATATGAACCGACAGTCTGTAGAGTTTTCCATCTGGTGTGGGTGAGTGATAGTCTACTTTGATTTTGTCTCTTATACACATCTAGATGTGTATAAGAGACAGGAGGGAGGAGGAGGGGGAGAGAGAGAGGGTGAAGACAGAGGAGGGGAAGATGGATAAGAAGGGGGAGGGGGAGGCAGAGGAGGAGGAGAAGATGGAAAAGAGGAAGGGGGAGGAGGAGGGGGAGAGAGAGGAGATGAGAGGA